CAATGGAATTACATCCGCATGGAACGTAGATACAGTGGAGTATCCTAAGGTTCTATCCATACTCTTCAATATTTTCATAATGATCTAGATGAGGGGATGAAAGGGGAACTCATCAAATGTGAGTGACACCAAGCTGGGATAAATAGCCAACACTTTAGAAGAAGAACTTTGAAAGACTTGAACACTGGACCCGATCTTCCAAAATGAAATTCAAAGGTGAAAAAAGTAAGGTCCTGCATTTAGGTGGGAGAAACCAAATGCATGAGTACTGAATTGTTGGTACCTGACTCAAGGGTAGTAACTGGGAAGGAGTTAGATGTCCTAGTGGACCACCACTTAAGTATAAGCCAGCAGTGTGCTGCAGCTGTCAAAAAATGAATGCAGTCCTTGGCTGCATTAACAGAAAGATGACATGAAGATCACAGAAGTGATAAAAGCGAGTACAGCTGTATACCACGCTACTTATGCCACACTTGGAATACTGAAGGAATCAACTTGATCTCCAAAGCATCGAAGGGTAGGAGAAGAAATAATAGGTGGAAGCTTGTTAAGGAGAAATTTCTTGACAGAATAATCACACTTGTCTCTTGGAATTGGAGGTGCTTCATAATTGGAGGTTTTCAAGAATAGACTGGATAACCATTTGACCAGGATGGTATAAGGAAGCAGTCCCCCACCTTTCTGATTCTGCGGACCAGTGGCGGGGAAGAGATGGTTAGGCACATATGTGACCACTTCTGCACTCGCCCATTACTTGCATGGCCCAGTTCCCGCCAGGCTGGGCTGCAGACCAGGACTTGGGGATCCTGGTATAAGGTCTCCTGCCTTGAGAAGGGGGTTGAACTAGAAGTCCTCCCAGATCCCTTTCAGCCCTATGATCCTACATTCTAAATTGGCTTCTGATACTGATCACGCCCCTGGGAGGGGTATTTCTGGCAGCAGATGGGCCTGGGGAAATGGCCTTTCTCTCACTGTGCCAAAACCATAGTTACAGATGGATACCCCTATTTATTGTAATATAGTGGAATGGTCAGACATTCCAAAGGTTGCTGGCAAGGGAGAAGGGACTGCAACCCATGGTTTGCCTAGTTACCCAGCAGAGTGCTCATAAGGAGCCTGGCAGCACACTCATTAGAATGTACTATTGCAAGCTAAATGTGCCCACAGCCAGAGGTTCAATCCTGACTGGCTCAAGGTTGAGTCAGCCTTCCATCCTTCCAAGGTTGATAAAACGAGGACCCAGATTGTTGGAGGCAAAGATTCCGACTCTGTAAACCATTCAGACAGACCAGTAAAACGCAATGAAGCAGTATATAAGTCTAAGTACTGTTGCTATAACTTACTTTCACAATTGGGTTTAAGGGGAGCTCAGCATGTCTTGTATATATGGTTACAGGATAATCTAATCAGCCTTTGTGATTTTGAAATTATAATTTATATTATATGTTAATTGGGCCATTGTGGCTTGCTTAATAACAATGGAAACAAATGATGATTTACTGTTACAAGTGAAACTAGCCATTAAACTATATTGCTGAGCAATGCTATTGAACCTCTTGCTATTTTTGGCATTTAGGTGTGATGCATGTTCTCTTCGGTGGCCAGAAAACATGGCATGTGGCAGCCCTTTGAAAGTGCAGGCCTCTAATGTTAGTACATTTTGCACTGCGCTTTGTTGTGTTTGAAAAAAAATGTTTTGTTGTGTCTGAAAAAATGTCTTCACTAAGACTTGTATTGTGGTACATATATTAATTTCTTAAGTACAATTAAAATCAATTACCAAACCTTGAGTGTTTTTTCCTTAAAAGTAAGTACTGATAGTTGTAGTGGCTTGGTGTAGTGGGTAGACTAAGCTATTAAGTGTGTAGATTACAATTTATCACTAGAGTAACATTTGTATGAATCGACCTGGTACCACCTATATGGCTAATCCTGTCTGTGTGACATAGGTGGATTATAGGTTCCCCAATTGTTTCTGGAAATAAACTGTTTTGACTTCTGTCACTGGGAGTAGGTGGGGAGCTATGCTATACAATCTGCTTCAGCTAATACCTCTTGGTTTTAAGGTTGGTTAAAGTTTATTGGGTCATGCAAAACTGGAACACAACAACCATTGGGGGAGTGGGGGTTGTACCATCAAATCAAAACCTGCACTTTCACAGCCTGGCCATTTTGCACAACCATCTTTAAGGAAGATCTGGGCACAGCAGGTTGCAAGAGTCTAATTGGAAAATGGTTTCAACATGGGTGATATTTTGATTATTGGGCAAAACGCACCGTGAGTTAATGAAGGCAGCTGGATGTTCCCTGGGAAGAGAACGGCCCTCCCATCACCTGGAGGCTGCGCATCTCATAGTTTCCAGCCAGGATGAAAGCAAAACGGCCCATCTGGCCTGGCTTGAGGGCCGCATCCGGGGCTCCATCCGGCCTGCCTTCCTAACCTCCACGGGGGAAGGGCGGGACAGGTGTGGGACCGCCACCCGCAAGGAACACCCCATCCTGCTGGCTCTGGTGCGGGAGGGGGGCACAGCGTCCAGGTTCCCTCGGGACGGCTCAGGTGGGCCGGAGGAGTGGGGAAGCCCAAGCTCCCGAGCGTGAGGGGATGCCCAGTCCCTTCTCCGGGGGAGGCGCCCGGTTCAGAGATACGAAAGATCGCGAAAGAAACGGCGGCCTCCGCAGCCCCAGCCAGCGCTTCGCCCGGCAGCTATAGCGGTTGGTCCGGCGGAGATGCTGCCCGGGGGCGGGGGTGGCCGGGCGGGGCGCGGGTTCCGAGGCGGGGGCGGCGGGGGCGGCGGTTGTGCCGCCCGAGGAGGAGGAGGCGGATGGCGGCGGGGCGAGGGCGGCCGTGGCTGCTGCTGCTCCCGGCGGCGCTGCTGAGCTTCCTCCCGCCGGCGACCACGCACCCGAGTGAGTGGCGGGACGGGCGGGGAGAGGCTGCTGCGGCCATTGCGGATCCAGCGCGAGCCGGGGAGGCCTCCGCCGCAGAGGGCCCGGGGCTCGCGGGGAAGAGCCGGAGACCCCCGCCCGCCTTCGCCCCCCTGGGCGGTTGAGCGGCGCCACACCGCCGGGTGTTTCCTTGGCGACAGGCCCCGAGCCTGGCTGGGCGGCGGGAGGACGAAGAGAGGCGCCTCAGGGGGAATTCGGTACCCGGGAGCGGGAGAGGCCGCAGGAGGCGAGGAAAGAGGCGACGAAGCTCCCCCTCCCGCCCTTCCCTGCAGCTCAGCGGCGGCCCTCGCTGGCCTCTCGGGGTCTCCTCCACTCCGTCCCACCGCAGCTTCTTCCGTCTCAACCTGGATCGCAGCCCATTCGGAAGAGAAACCGCTGCAGAAAGCCCGAGCACAAGCGGCGGGAGGCTAGGCGGTCATCTAAGGCAGTGTTTTTCAACCACTGTGCCGCGGCACACTAGTGTGCCGTGACATAGTGTAAGGTGTGCCCTGGGAGAATTACTTTATACATAGGCACAGAGTTAAATTTTTTTAACATTTTCTAATGGTGGTGTGCCTCATGATTTTTTTCATGAAAAAAGTGTGCCTTTGCACAAAAAAGGTTGAAAAACACTGATCTAAGGGCTGCCCAGATGTTTGCAGTTGCCGTCTGCCTTCCTCCTTTATCTACATATCTGGTTATCACTTAGATCCCCCATCGGTCTTTTTCTGGGGCCAGACCACTTCAATGGGCTTCTCTGATAGAGCTCACTTATTTTCCTTTCCATCTTGTATTTATCCATTCTTGACTCTAGGTTACTTCTTGGACCAAACACTCAACATTCTTAAGAACCCAATTTCCATAGCACCAGTTACTTTCATTGTTGCTCCTAATGTACTCAACTCCCATTTCCTGCAACAAAGTGGTTTCTACCCACCTGTTTTTGCTTCTTCCCTTTCCCAACCCACCTCACATGGTTGCTGTTGTGGAGAGACTAGAGACTAGACTGCAATAGAATCGTTGGACGGTCTTGGAGGTCTTCTAGTCCAAAGCCTTGGAGGGAAGCCATTCCATTGATTAATTGTTCTCACTGAAAGGGAATTTTCCTTAATTCTAGGTTGGATCTCTCTTTGATAAACTTCCATCCATTGGGCCTGTCCTAAGCTTGTTTGGAGGTTGGGCCCCCTCTTGTTTGTGGCAGCCCCTCAAATATTGGAACAGCTATCATGTTGACCCTAGTCCTCCTTTTCAGAAAACTAGACCTACCCAATTCCTGGAACCATCTTTATAGATTTTAGCCTCCAGCCCCCTAACCTCCCCAGAGACGCAACATCTTTTTTGCATCATATTAATGAAAACTGGATGCATGGTGAGCTTTTGATATGTTCACCACCTTGGGTTACTTTTAAAAATAAGGACGACAGGATACAGACAGACAAAAACAAATGAACTATTCCTTATAGAACACCACATATTAACACTATGTTTCTGTTACACCTTGTTCTTTGCCGCAGCTCTTTCAGATTCTCCACCAGCCGCATTTGTGTGTACAGAAATCTGTATATATTCATGAGCCTAACCTCAAATGTGACCATAAATAATATTTAATATTATTTAATATGCCCATAATTCCATTAAACACCGCACATCTTTTTTCTTACTTCATACTTAAGAAGGCTGAAACATGCTAAGCATTTTTTTTATTCTCAGTCACGTTTGATTTCTATCCCACATTACTGCTTTCAATAGCCAACTATTAACTCCCTGATCATATAAAACATTCCACATTTCAACCCATTAAATGCTTTTTCTAAATGAACAGATACATTATAAACATTCCTTCTTACACTCTTTCTCAGTTACCTACCAAAATGCAGATCCCGTGTCTGTCTTTCGTTGTCCTGTCCGGTATAAAACCAGGCTGTCCAATGTTTTTCTCATCACTTTCCTAATGCACACGTTATAAAGATACAGTTTTGCACCATCTCTTGCTGCCTTTGGTGTTTTTTTTTTTTTGTCAATCATTAAGACATTGAAGTACAATTTTTTTTTGTTGTGTGTGCCTCACTACTAATATGTGTTTGTTTTTCGAATCTGAGCTTTNATATAAATGCATGGAGTGTGGGAAAACCTTTACTCAGAGCAGTGGACTCAATAACCACAAAAGGATCCACACAGGAGAAAAACCGTATAAATGCATGGAGTGTGGAAAGACCTTTGCTCTGAATGGGACACTCACTATTCACAAAAAGTTCCACACAGGAGAGAAGCCGTATAAATGTATTGAGTGTGGAAAGACCTTTGCTCAAAGTGGTCATCTTATTTGTCATAAGATGGTCCACACAGGGGAGAAACCCTATAAATGCATGCAGTGTGGGAAAACCTTTACTCAGAGCAGTGGACTCAATAAACACAAACGGATCCACACAGGAGAGAAGCCATATAAATGCATGGAGTGTGGGAAAACATTTACTCAGAGCAGTGGACTCAATAAACACAAACGGATCCACACAGGAGAAAAACCGTATAAATGCATGGAGTGTGGAAAGACCTTTGCTCTGAAGGGGACACTCGCTATCCACAACAAGATCCACACAGGAGAGAAGCCGTATAAATGTATGGAATGTGGAAAGACCTTTGCTCAAAGTGGTCATCTTATTTCCCATAAGATGGTCCACACAGGGGAGAAACCATATAAATGCATAAATTGTGGAAAGACATTTGCTCGCAGCTATGAACTTACTTCCCATAACAGAATCCACACAGGAGAGAAGCCATATAAATGTATGGAATGTGGAAAGACCTTTGCTCAGAATAGTAATCTTATTTCTCATAAACAGTTCCACACTCGTGAGAAGGTATATAGCAATAGTAATTCCATTTAGAGTTAAATACCACTTTACAATGCTTTACAGCACTCTCTGAGCAATTTACAAAATCAGCATATGTTTCCCAGCAATCTGGGTCCTCATTTTACTCCCCTCAGAAGGATGAAAGGCTGAATCAACCATGAGGCTGTCTGTATCAAACTCCTGGCTGTGGGCAATTAACCACTGCCACACCATATCTATAGATTTTTTATGTATATTTATATTGTGCCTTTCTGATCCAAATGCCACAAGATTGAATCGAACAAAATGAAATTTAGTGTGGAGGGAAAAAAAGGTTTTACACCTGGGCAGGAAAAACATTACATAGAATGTGGCTCAACTGCGACCTTGGAGTCTGAATGGATAAGTCACGTGTGTGCAGCTGCAGCCCAAAAAACTAATACAATCCTTGATTGTATAAACAGGCATAGAATCAAAATCACAGGAAGTATTAGTCCTGCTCTATAAAGCCTTAGTAAGATCACATGTAGAACACTGCATGCAGTTTTGGTCATCAAACTGCAAAAAAGATGTTGAGGCTTTGGAAAAAGGGCAGAGAAGAGCAGACTGATGAAAGGACCTGGAGACTAAAACATAGGAAGAACGTGCGCACCGGCTACCTGGTGTCTAGTTTCTGGCACACATGCATGCTCAAAGACCAGCTCGCATGCCCAAAGACATGGAGAGGGGATCCTGGCAGTCACTTCCTAGGGGAGCTGAGCTGTCGGCCAGGACAGGCAGGCTGGGGCTTCCCTCCTTCCCCGACTGAGTGGGCTT